TCATTTTTTACTTTTTGGCTTAATGGAACTTTCTGCAATGATACAATTAAAAAGTATTAACAATTAAGTAAAATTATATATTATATTCAAATTCTTAATTGAAAATTATTTATATTATTTTCAGGGGTGCCAAAAATTACTGACAGTCCAGTTTTGGTTTTTTTTTGTGATACCGGTTGACTAATACTATTATTGACACAGCTGTCACTTTCGGTACTGTTGTATGTACTTTCGCAAAATGCACAGAGGTTTTCTTTAAAGCCGATACATCATTATACGTAATGTATTCGATTTTAAACATTGGATCCAATACGGTACATATAATCAGCAATGTGTTATCTTGATAGCGTTGATCTAGAACCTCAATAATAGCTTTATACATGTTCTTAATTTGTCTTCCGTTGATTTCCGTATCATATTTTTCATTTAATTCAGTAATTTGAGAACATTTTGACTTCAGTAAAGAAATCACTGGCAGTATAGCCGAACCCGTGACATAAGAATCGCCGGCTAAATTATCAGTGATTTCCCGGATAGGCTGTATAATAGAACTTAGGTTTTTATGTGATGCTTGTGGTTTAAGATGAAACACATATTAACGGAATGTTTCAAGTACGAACAAGACAGACAAAGGATCGGAATCGACGCGACACTCAGCACCGCACTGGGACCAGAATTCGAGGAAAATATCAAGATAATAAACTTCCTAAAATCAACTAACTTATATAACTCAAATTAAATATTATGTTCATTTTTCCATAGTTCTTAGTTATTAGAATACGATAGCATAATGAACCCCTATTGTAATTAACTTTTGTGCCACCATAGCTGTAACTAATGGCCACAGATGCCGGGTTGTCAAAATTCGATATATAAATGCTTTTAAAAAAAAATTGAACCTATGTATTTTTAATATTTTTCAACTGATATTGTGACAATATATCAGGAGCCTTGTATTACATTTTTATACTTTTTGGCTCAACAGATAAAACTTTATTGAACTTTATAGAAATAAAAAACTAAAAATTGAAAACTGTAATTGTCTGTAAATAGCTCAATGAGTCAAAATATTTTCAAAAGGGAGATGGTATTTTGTGCCAATTTAATTACCTGTAATTTGCTCCATCAAAAGGTACATTTAAAGACATATGTAATTTGCGCCAAAATATAAAAATATAATATGTATTTTGCGCCACATATACAAATTAATTTTGGTAATTTGCGCCACGACAGAAAACCAAATGGAATAAGTAATTTGCGCCACACTTTCAACTTCAATATTGTTGGAATTTACCAGCAGATAAATTTACTGATATCGCATAGGATATACAATAATAAGTACCGACGTGTGTCCAATATAATATTGTTGTGTTCTACTGATAATAGACATATCGTCTCTATTAGACGTAATCGAACTCCGATTACGTCTAATCTACTGAAAATTATCAATGTATTGTTAATATTGAACAGCAATTTCGCAAATCGTGATATTTATAGTTAGTCCGATATAAATCGAGTGTGCGTTCATGTTCACATTTCAAAATTTTATAAAAGTATAAGTAATGGAGAATAATACAAATATTGGTGAAATTATTAAAAGTACCAGAGGCAAAGATTTATTATTATTTGCAAATTTTACGTATCGAAAAGTTCATGAATCAAAAAATTCTTAAGTACGATGGCGTTGTACTTTCAGAACTTGCATTGCAAAAGTGTATACTTCTATAGAAAATATTGTAGAAATATTTGAAATTGTAAATGAACATAATAGGCATGATCAACCAAGTATAGACAGAAAAATGTATTCAAATGGATGTAAGATAAAAGCTGTGGAAAATCTGTATACTAAACCAAGTAAAATATTACGAACTGAAATTTCTGAAAATATATCTAATTTACAAACTATCACACCAATGATATATCACTAGTTCGACGAAATATTTATAACGCCCGTAGATAAATGGTGCCACCATTTCCAAAAACAATATAAGAATTGCAAAGTAGTGTAAGCAATTTGGATTTGAAAACGGACCTCAATGAGCAATTTTTATTAATAAATGATCCGAAGTGTCATATAATAATATTTTCATGTGACACAACTTTAAAAGTTCTATGCGTATCTGAGATTATATACATGGATGGAACTTTTGAATATTGTCCCAAGTCATTTACGCAATTGTTTTCTTTGCATGGTTTATGCAATGATCATTATATACCACTTTTATTTGCATTACTTCCAGACAAAGAAACTTCAACTTACGTAAATTTATTTAAAAATATCATACATTTGTGTAATGCACTTGAACTTTCTCTAAAACCAAATTTATTTATATCTGTTTTGAAGAACCAATTCATGTAGCATTGAGACAAGTCTGGGACGACACTAAAATATTTAGTTGTAGATTTCACCTAACTCAATCGTGGTATAGAAAAATTCAGGAATTAGGCTTATCCAACGTATAACAAAATAATAAAACAGAAGACATTAAGTGGCTAAACCATACATTTGGGTTGCCATTTATTTCTCCAAATTAGGTCAGTAACTGTTTTATTGAAGATTTTATGTCATCGATTTTTAATGACATAAGATTTCAAAAATACAACAAAATAAGGAAATCGCTACATTAGAAATCTAGTGAATATCCAATGTTGTAAAATTTTGAATTTCAAAAACTCAAAAAAATTAACTTTGACTTTCTTAAAGACATTTTTTTTTTGATAAAGGTAGATAAACTTATAAGAAATCTTGTATTGCATTTTAAAATCTTAGATTTAAAAAGAAAATTTTTACGAATTCTTAACTCAAAATAATTTGCTAATTTTCGTGGTTTTTCCATATTTTGTCAATTTTTGAACTTTAAATGCTTATAAAAAAAACTGTGACTAAGGATTTTTAATATTTTTCATCTGTCTTTGAAACAATATACTAGGAGCCTTCTATTAAATTTTCAATTATTTTACTCAACAAATAAAATTTTATTGATATTCATAAAAAAAAACTAAAAATGTCACTAAACAGTTCAAAATAAATCAAAATATTTTGAAAATGTTATCGTGTATAGAAAATGCAAATATAAACAACCAGTGAAAATTGTATGTATCTACGGTCATTTGTTTTAAAGTTACACCAAAAACCAAATTCGATTTTGTAAAAAATTGATTTTGAGTAAAAGTTCCCGTTTTTCCTTAATTTTTATTTTGTTCTCCTGGTTGATTTTGAAAACTATTGGGAATTTTAAATTTTTACCCCTCAATGTACCAACGATATTCACTTTCCAATCGAACAAGATACTGAAGTTGAAATTCGAAGCATTATTTCGACTACTTGTCGTTTACATATACACAAATAAAAAAAAAAGCTGCGAATTCCAGTAGGAGGGGTGATAAAATGTATCTGATTTGAATTGAGAAACATATCGTAATTTATGTGTTAAAATCAAAAATGTGATAATCGGTGATAAACGCATGAAATATTCGGGTGGTGAGGTTTGAAAAAATTGTATAATCTTTGTACCTAATGCCTATTGTTATACCAATATTAAATGATAGGTAGGTACCTACATCATTACTATTATTGATATTTCGTGGGGAGGTTAACCCTTCGCGGCGAAATGTCCTAGACCCGATATTCCTTGCTGAAAACACAGTCACTAATAGTCGAGTATAGTCCCGATGGCGACACAAATATATGGTATTACCACAATACCACACATAATTTGTCATCTACACCAATTATTCGGCGATTGTATCAAAATAAAACAGTAGGTAAATAGTAAATATATTTAGATATTTATAATCTGCCCCTCCCATTAATGTAGGCTGGATCTGCGCCTGTTAGATATTATCATTGATTATACATATATTATAGCATAGATTGCTCACTGGCGGCATTTCACGCTATGCTCTAATGGATACGGCCGTTACGCATCGCTGCAGTCGTGGCGTTAGTTCTGGATAGAAACACTAGGTGAGCGCTAGAAGTCTACTAGTTATGGATATGTTCGCTAAATCGGGGCCAGCTGTTAAAATAGTTCCGGATACTGCTGTTAGATGAGCACTAGTGTTGACTGTTAGTGTAGTAGTGTTTACTATAGGTCCCGTCCTCCTGTGTATTCTTGTCTATGCTGTTATGATGGGATTTTTCGTTCCTTTTGTTCCAGGTCCACAAAAGGAACGATTCCAAATGACTCGTTCCATCGTTCCTTTTGGTACTATTACCTAACTAGTACCGATACCGAACCTTACTACTACGAACTGTTTTCCAGCCACTCGTATTATACGTACCGATTCACAAGCATGCGTTTCAGTTTACATTCTTCTTTGTAAGCCACTTCGCAGTGCCTGGTTAACAAATTTTCCGCCTGGAGGCAGATTTTAAAATACCTCCCTTTAACCCCCCCCCCCTCCACAGATGTATACATATATATATATACAACCTACCCAATAAGTAACAACATAGTTTAATTTAGATTGTTTAATCAATACATATTTCTAAAAATATCGTAATGTCGATAGTTTTTACAGTTATAGACCTTATTGAAGACATTTTGAATTTTAAGTGTTAGAGAAATAATTAGTTCATGATTTTTATTTTTTTCCTCGGCTCATATACGAAATTCAGCACCACTTAATTTTATTTTATTAATATTAATAATATTAGCCAAAAACCAAATCCTCTTGTTTAATACATTTATTATTGTAATACCTCATAGATAAATAGTAATGCATACCAAAATATATTTCATATTAATTGATTTTACCGACTTCTATAAATGTTTGTAGACATCAAATAAAATGAAGGGCTTTATAGGTATATTTAAAAAATTAAAATTAATAACAAAAACAAAAATTGCACATTTTATGTGATTTTAATTAATGAAATAAAATAGTAAATTCAAATTAGATTTTTGATCATAATTTTTATATCCGTAATAATATGAAAAAAAATGTAAGCTTGTTGATACAAAATAAAATTATGAACTTCTTTAAAAATAATTATATTAAACATAACTATTTAAAAACAATAACGTTTCTGCATTTTTCATTGACAATCTATTACGTCGATCTGTTATAGTGTACCCAGCTTTAGAAAAAATACGCTCACATGGTACTGAAGTTGAGGGTACACACAATCTCAACAACGCAAGCTGGAATAAATTGGGATACATCCTTTTCATTTCTTTCCACCACATTAATGGATCCGATTTCCTATCCAGCAATGGCTCATTTAAATATTTGTCCAATTCAACAATTGCTTCGGATCTTGGAGTGGTAATTGTAGTTGCTGGGGTCTGTGAAAAATCGAATATTATTTTAAAACAAATAAAGTTATGTACTCAAATATATAATAAGAATAAAACCTGTAAATCGAAGTCTTTCCAGATGTCAAACTGTTCGTTTTCGTTTGTATTTTCTTGAATGTCATTTACTTCGTCTTCTGATACATTATTTTTTTTTGACTGAATGATTGTTGAAATACTTTGAATAATTGTCTGATATGCGCGTTGATATGATGTTGTTTTACTAAAACCTCTCTTTTTTGAATCTTGGGTCTAAGATTGTTACTTCTGTCAAAACTGGTTGTTCTTCAATCCCTTCAAATTTTTTTTCTGCTTTATTTTCCATTGTTATAAGTATAGAATATATGGCAGACGGTAAATTGGCTTCTTTTTTATTTTTTATATGAGATAATAATACTTTACATAATATTATTACTTTCGAAATCGATACTCCTTTTTCAGAATTTAGCTCTGCCGTCATTTCTTTAAAGGGCTTAAAAATACTGCAATAATGTTCCATTATATCAAAATCATCAGGTGATAAATTTTGAACGTTACCAATAATCGCTAATGTAGATATTAAAGGCTCTTTAATATCAATACACCTTTGAAACATATGGTACGTACTGTTTCAGCGTGTAGCAACATCTTGTATTAACTTAAGTAAAGGAAGACCCATTTGTGTTTGCGTTTGTTTCAATTTAATATAAGATTTTGTTGATCGTTTAAAAATTCTACGATACTCTTAACTTTTTTGTGAACATTTTTTATGTCCACTAACCCACTTTGGGCGATTAATTAATGATGTGTGCTAAGCATGGAATATGACACCAATTTTTATTTAAATTTATAGCACTCGTAATATTAGCTGCATTATCACTAACGGCAATTTTTATTTTTTCAGATATTTCCCACTCATTAAAACATGCATTCATAAATTCAGATAAATTAATTGAGGTATGGGATTTTTCATAATAATAGCATCCTAATAAATATGTTTTTAAAACACATTCTATATTATCTATATAATGAACTGTTATAGCAACGAAACTATCGTTGTTCAAAGATGTCCAACCATCTGTAGTAAATGCGATGTATTCCGAATTTTTTAAATTAGCTTTTACTTTTTGCTTAGTTTTTTCTAGTAACTGTGGTATGATAGACTTAGAAACTGTTTTTCTTGAAGAAATTGAATAACTAGGATTTAGCATTTTAACAAATTTTCTAAATTCTATGTTTTCAACAAGACTAAATGGTTGAAATTCTTTTGCGATCATAGTTCCTAACTGCTCGTCAATTTTTCGCGATTTATTCATAGATAGTGGTCTTGATATAAATGAGTCTATCAGTGTTTGAGATTGAGATGTTTTAAGAGGAGTATTTGTTGTTTTAGATGTCAGAGATAAAGATGTCGACGGTTGATTTTGTGTTTCAGTATTTTGCTGGACGGAAATTGTATTAGGCTCATCAATATTATCCTCCAGATCTAAATCGTGAGTTATTTCAGTGCGAACTTTTTTCCTAACCTCATATTGAATAATATGTTTTCTTTTCAAATGCCTACTGAGATTTGCGGTTGAACCACCTCTAAAAGAATAAGAAACCGAACAGTAATTGCATTTAGCTGTTTTACTATTAACTGTCGTAAAATGATGCCAAACATCACTTGTTTTCCTACTCATTTTTAATATAAGTGAAAAAAAAATAAATACCACGGTCCATGAATAATAATATTGTCAAACGAACTGCGACTAGCCGATAAACAAACCACGGAAGAAATGATTATAATCTTTATATTAAAATTATCCATCATGATTTGAGCTATTTTTAAATTTGTATAGTCCCATAAATATATAATGGTAGGTGTTGTATAATATTATTATAACAGGCAACAGGCTGCACGTCACAGTCATAAGGTCTAGAAAAAGTGGTGGGGAATATGTGAACTCGCTAACGCGGTTAGGCACCATTTTTTTATAGGACACTATATTAGGTAGTAACGACTATTGGAACGGAGTGTACTGTATAATACCCATATAGTACAAATTACAAACGTGGAACAATTAACTAATAGGACCTAAAAAGAGCTAGTAGGTGCAATCATTCCGATCTGTTGCCCCTCTGGACTCGTACGAAATACGAATGGTGCAAACGAAAATACAAAATACTAGCTAGACCACGCCAACAGGGAACGGTGGTACTAGTGAATAGTGATATTACGATAACGTTGATAAAACGGAATGCTGTACTCCACGGTCTTAGATCCCGCAGTAGTGTCGGACAACGACAATCGGTAGCGTTTCGAACAATAAACGACGTGCGCATCTTGTCGGACGTCGGTCTCAATTCGGTATTTCGTTGTAATCGGTTCGTGATACGAATATGGAGCTATATGATTTTGGACCTATTGCACCTAAAAGGAACGAGTAGGTGGAATCGTTCCGATTCGTTCCCCCTCTGGACTCGATCCAAAGGAACGATTAGTTCATGAACGACCCACCACTATTATGCTGTGTGGTGTTGACGGTGTCGTACTGTTGTGTGTTCGCCGGGCCATTACAAATTTAATTTGTTATGCGTCGTACAGTGGGACAAATGCCAGATCTAGGTGGACAAAACTGACAATTTACGTATTGAATCATAATTAATATTATCAATACAATTACAATGTATATTAATAAAGAAACAAATATGTATATTTATTTAAATTTAATTAGTAAATCTATTTAGTATAAAATTGTCCATTAAAATAATTTATAAGAAATTTATAAAAAAAATTTTAACACAAAATATAAATAAAAAATCAACAAGCAATCTATACAAAAGTTAATACGATTTTAATGTTCATGTTATTGGTCATCGTCAATCATCGAGTCTACTATTAACAAAGGTAAAACGTCTTCGGGAAGCTCATTCATTTTTGATTTTGGCAGTCCTCTTGCCCTTGATATTACTGGGTCTGATTGCTGTAGCATCATATGAATTAGGTCCTCAGTAGTGTTTAATCTGCTGCTTTTTCGGGTATGTCTTTCTCGAACTCGTCTATATATTTTATTACTGGCTTCTTGTGCCTCTTCTGACATCATACTAATAGGTAATAATATAGATTTGGCAACTGCAGCTCCGTGAAATAAAATTGTATGCACGCTTACAGGCATTCTATACCAAGAATATATTTTTACATATAGTTCAGCTGTTTCACGTGCAAACGAATCAAAATTTTTAATATGTATTTGATAACCACTCGATAATGCTATCATTATTACACCAAACCTCCGTATGAGGTCCTCATCTACACCAGTAATTTTGGATGATTCGTGGTAATTTGTAAGAAAAATACGACCGACATTTTCTGTATTTGAGGTACCTTTCCCTTGAACCACTTTATCTACTCTGATACCTAATGTTGTATGCGATTTGTTATGGACTATTTTCGATACGGAACAGGTGCAACGAACTGACAGGCTACCCACCCGCGGCCCTTGTCTTTGGCAGGGAGTGCAAGAGACCCGGAGATTGGGCGCTGTCTAAAGCTGCGCCGGTACACATCGAAAAATTACAGGAAAAGAGGGTAGAGCGGGAGAAACGTAGTTCAAGCAAAAAGGTAGTGGTAAAACCAAACACAAACACCGGCACACCAGTGAAGTTCAACAAGGGCGACGTAGTCTACTACAAAACACACCACTTATCTAAGGCACATAAAGATTTTCATGCCGGGTTCGCACCAAAGTGGTGGGGAACGGTAAAAGAGTCTTTCTAACCGACCAACAACCACCGCGTAAAATACATGGGTCATGCCTGAAACGTGCACTAATAGGGCAAAAATAAACTAACTTTTGTCTATAACAACCATTATTTACAGACAAAAAGACCAGTCAGCAGCAGGTGGCCGACCTGATACAACGGCTGGGGCTGGTGACTAGCGGTCAGGACGAGCCGCGAACAGCCGCCCAGGTCGCGAGGATGACGACCCGCCAACTCCTACAGGATCTAGTGCGGGCGGCCATCTACAACCGTGGCTGGGCGGACCGCACAGCGGACATCCAGCGGAGCCTTCGGCCACAGCGACCACCATCGGCACCAAGCAGCCGCACCCCATCACTGACGAGGCCACCAACACCAGCAACCACTCCTGCCCCTGTGACACCTGCGGAGCCGACATCGGTACTCAGGTCAACGGGGGTACACGTCCGACGGTAAGGGTGAGGACGGAGGCGCGGAACCGCAGGAAGTTCCAGCAGCTGAAGGAGAAGAGGAAGGCCAGGGAAAGCGAGGCAAGCCAACGACATCGGCTTGCCAAGCAACCTGCGCCAACCTCAGACCCGGAAGCAGCCTGTGCGCCTCCGACCGACCAAACACCGCCGGAAGCGATGAGGGTAGACAAACCGGCGCCCAAGGACCGAGGAGCCGGGACAGTCTACCAACCAGACGCCACCTAACCAATCAGTGACCCCGGACGAAATAACCGAGGCGGATTGGTTGGTGGCGTTTGAGGGGATGCTGGAGATGGAGTACGACCCCGCGTACTACACTCCGGTAGGGTCCCCAAAACACGCGTAAACACCACCCACGGGCGCGGGTGAGTCTACCTCAAGTGAAAGCCAGAGGTAGTACAAGAGATACCCCATCCCGTAACGACACACCGACACTGGTACAAGTGTACCCCGTGTGGCGGTTTGGCAGGGGAGTATGACACGGTACGCAGCAGCAACCAGTACAAAGTACAGGTACCACAGCGACCGGTCTGCGCTTTTGACAACCACCACCACGGGCTACGAGCGCGACATCGCCAACTCTCCCACCACGCCACAGAGGCATGGCGGGACGGGAAGGCGAGTCGCGCAAGACGAGCACGGGCTGCCGGCTGCTCGCTCTCTCGACCACCAACGGTTAACAAAATAACATTAATGTTGAGGTATGCTCTACTGTGAAGAAAGTTTAGTATTTGTATAAATACGTATATAAAGGGCACGATGCTGCTACCATGGAATTATGGAACGGAAATGAAATAGACAGGTAGGTATGTTATCAAAATGCATTTTTCTATAAGTTAACACATTATATTCTTTCAACTATTGCATTAATTGTAAAGTTCTTTTTGGTTTTCTGGCCTCACTGTTACCTCCTAACCTAACTTACATTGCACTTGCAACTTATGTAAACTTAAATTATTGTACATAAACACAACATAGAACAGCAGAGTATAAACTACTGGTGTTCATTAATTTAGAGTTGTTGTTGAATATATAACTTTATATTAGCTTAAAACTACTGCCCACTTAATGCATGATTTCTATTATTTGAAATTTCACTACAGTAGTATCAGCATGGCCAGTTGACAATTGTGTAACACAATCATCATTCATATAATAATATGTACTCCTCAATCAATAACTGAAATCATCTTCAATTATTTTTCATTATTTCAATTCGCTTAACTAAATATAATACTCAATCATTTCACATCTCATCTCAATAGTAAATACATTTTAGGAAAGCTGTTCAGCATAATATAAATTAGGTATTGAAACCGGTACTTTGTAAATTAGAAATTTCATATATATGTTATTCATTTGTTTCATTTGACAAGCATTTCTCTGTTCACACTACAATGACCTAACACTACAGTATGTTATTAAGAAATTAATTACAGCATATTATTAATTAACATTTATAAATTATTATAGACACATAAATTAGATTTTTGAAAGCCATTTACCACTTATTAGACTAAGTCTTAATGTCTTAAGTTATGTACATAGAATATAATTAAAATGCAAAAAACAATATTTTATCGTATTCTTCTTCATTAACACTGAAATAGTGTTCACTATAGGTACTTTGACATAATTACATTTATTATATATACATCACAAACAATAGTATTACGACATTTTACTCATGACAATATTTTATATATGTAAAATAATGAGATTTTAAATAACTATTGATTTCTTTTTGTACAACTTTATGTTACTTAACTTTATGTTCTAAATATTTTTGATACATACATACTTAAATGATGTTTTCAGTTACATAAATTCGAGGTACGTCAGCCCACCGGAAGCCGTCTGGAGGTTGTTTGCGTATAAACTACACGACATCAGTCACACGGCAGTTAGACTTCCGGTTCACCTAGAAAACTACCACAACGTGTACTTTGCGCGTGGACGGGAACTACAGGAGGTACAAAACAACGCCCTACCTCGAACAAAACTCACGGCGTTCTTCGCGCTCAACGAGAGAAGCTTTGATGCAAGACAGTATCTGTTCCACGAGATACCGATACATTACACTTGGCAAGTATCGTCAAAAGAGTGGAGACAGCGGCGATACGGGCACCTCGCGAGACGTTGGCTCGGATGTACGTAGTCAACCCACTGGATAGAGACCGTTTTCATCTACGACTACTCTTGCACAGAAGAGGTCCACGGTCTTTCCAAGACTTGAAGACGGTAAACGGGGTCGTGCATGCCACTACGCAGCCGCCGCCATTGCGTTGGGATTGTTGGAAGACGACGAAGGGTGGCGGGCGTGTATGACAGAATCATCGGCGTTGGACACAGCCACTCAACTGCGTTATCTATACGTCACGATCATAGGCGGAAATTGGGGGGGCTTGAGGGGGCTTAGCCCCCTCAAAACGTACAAACAGAAAAATTAGCCCCCTCAAAAATAATATAAGTAAAATATTAACTTTCAATTAAATATTGTTGCAACGCAAATAAAAAAAAAAAAAATTGGAAAAAATATCTGGCGTGTTCGTATTTCTGTTCAATTACCAAAGCTCATAGCGTAATAAGATTTAAAGTAGATAAAGTTTAATCTGGTGTTATGGTTCCACCACAGAATATTATTATAATACATTATGTTATTATGTAATTGTCAATTTAAAGAAAAGGTTTTCAACTGATAGTCTTCAAATGGCTGAAGCTGTAGACAATTTCATCAAATTAAATTTTAAAAAGAGTGTTTTTTGTATAAGGTTTATATAAGGTAATTTTAGTTTAAAAACTTGCTATCAAAATTGATTATTACTGAATTAATAAATATTATGACCCGTGGGTTCAAAATAGAATTTTTATAATTTATTTATTTTATATATTGTAAGTTATTTTTATTATGCTATTACTATATGAAAGATAATTGTTTATTGTCAAGAGCTATTGGATGTAAAATCTAAAAAGTATAAGTGTTCAATCAGAAATGTACGTTGTGAAAAATTATAAACATTTTTCAACTGGCAAAAGCTGTATTAGTTTAGATGATTTTACTTCAGTAGGTTCTTCCTAATGATTTATATATCCAAACATATATTATCTTATGCCAGTTTCACTTACTTTCCCCATCGTGACTCACGATACTATTGTTTTGCCATCCCGCGGACCCCACGGATCTGTACCGACGGTTTGAAGTCAACATGATGGAAGACTTCAATCGGCACTTCCAAAACGTAGACCGCGCGAGGGTGGCGTGTCTCAAAGCAATCGGAGACCTACTTCGTGCACGCGAAAAATCACTCGACGACTACGATCTACCCAATCCAGACGACGATCTACTGGGACCGGATTACGACGATCCAATGTTCGATGCAATAGATGCGGCCGTTACCTGGTAACAACGATTGCTCGACTTGAACGACGAACAGCGAACGGTATACGATCGAGTGATGGCGGCCGTCGACGATAACCGCAACGTCCAGAAAATGTTCTATGTCGACGGGCCAGGAGGCACGGGAAAAACGACGCTATACGGATGCCTAATATCGTCGCTTCGTAACAGACAACGAACGGTGTTGAGCGTGGCATACACCGGGATCGCCGCATCCCTCATGGAGGGCGGCATGACTGTGCACTCGACTTTCGGATTGCCATTGGGAACGCTGACCGAACAGTCTACTTCGAGCATCAAGTTGCAGTCTTTGCGCGCGCAAAGGATACGCGAAGCTTCGCTGATTGTCTGGGACGAAGCGCCCATGTCCCCGGGCCTACAGTTCACAGTGGTCGATCGTTTGCTCAAGGACATCATGCAATCGGCACTACCGTTTGGTGGTAAACCAATACTGTTAGCTGGCGACTTCAGGCAGATATTGCCCGTCGTTCGCCGGGGGAACAGGAGCTCCATCGTCATGTCCTCCATCAAACGCCACTCATTGTGGAGAGAGTTTGAACAGTTTCGGCTGACAAGGAACATGCGCGCCAACAACGACGCCGACTTCGCTGCTTGGCTACTTCAGCTTGGTAACGGTCAACTGCCGACGGTCTATGGTATTCCGGATACTGTCGAAATCCCACCGCAACTGGTTTGCAACGTTGTGGATTTGACCGATTTCGTCTATCCGCAGCAAATGTCGTTGGACAACGTCGACGAGTTCGCTCGGAGAATCATACTGTGTCCCCGCAACGAGGAATGCCACCAAATAAATTCCACAGTGCTACGACGCGTCACGGGCGCCGAAAAGACATACTCCTCCATGGACACAGTGGTGATCAACAACGCCGACGAAGCGGCAAACTACCAGACAGAGTTCCTTAACGCTCTGCATCCGAACGGACTACCGCCGCACAAGTTGACGCTCAAGGTTGGTTCGATCGTAATGTTGCTGAGAAACATTGATACGAACCGACAACTGTGCAACGGGACGAGGTTGGTGGTCACCGAACTGCGGCCACACAACTTCAAGGCGAGGAGGTTGTCCGGCTCCGGCGACCCTCAGGACGACATAATTATACCTGCCATTTCAATGATTTCCGGTGAGGAAGACAATTGGCCTTTTCGAATGAAGCGGATTCAATTCCCAGTACGGTTGTCGTTTGCCATGACAATCAACAAATCTCAGGGTCAAACGTTTGACCGAGTCGGTTTGCTCCTGCCGTCTCCCGTCTTCAGCCACGGGCAGCTGTACGTTGCGTTTTCAAGAGTGAGGGACGCGCAATCCGTCAGAGTCGGCATGTACTGCGATGGAAATGGTCGATTCGTCACCAAGAATATTGTGTACCCAGAAGTCCTCTGATGCGATTACAGGTAGTTATATAATTAATAGAACTATACAATGTTCACCCGAGGGGTCTATGGGATCCCCCCGGGGTCTTTGTGATCCCCCCGGGGTCTTTGGGATCCCCCCGGGGTCTTTGGGATCCCCCCGGGGTCTTTGGGATCCCCCCGGGGTCTATGTGACTCTTTGCGGAGAGAAAGTTTGACAACCTCCATGTGGTCTCTCTGGATGCGATTACACTCAACGGTGTATTCGTAACTAATGTCAAACGTTTGGTTAAAATTAAGAAATATAAAAATAACTGGGATGCTTAGTGCCTAGATTTTTGTATGTATTATTCTACACAACACACGTACAGAGTTGTATGTATTCAACCAGTTATTGTTATATCATAGTCATAGACCATAGAATATCATAAAATTGCCATTGGATTTTTCATTTAAAGATACACCTAATTATAATCAAAATATCTATTAATTTATTTACACTTGCACTACCACAGCAATACTATATACTAAGATTTGTAACAATTCCTTTCTATATAATAATTTAATTTGTTTTCATTTGTTATTTTCTATATATATATAAATAAAGAATACACTGATACGTTATATATCTGTATCAATAACTTATATGTACCATTCTATATATTTGTAATGTAATTGTAATATGTTTTTTATATGTTATGTAAGTTTTTATGAACAACTTTAAAACCCTATTCAACATGTAATAAATCATTTAATTATTTTATTATATAAATTTGTACTATTACAACAACTAATTAGTTGTTAATTTATTTACTCTCAGGCATGGCACTAGAATTGTTTTCCACAGGGTGGCAGAGTGGTGCAAATATTTTTTTTTAAATGAGCTAAGGTTTTTTCAACAGATACGGAGGTTATTTTATTTTTAAAAATAATAAAAAGTAATAATAATATACCTATGATGTATATTATAGTACACACGTTTTTATATTGTATGCTCTAAAAGTCTAAACAGATAATATTTACAAACTTTTCAATAGTTAAAAATGTTTTAAGAATAATGTCTAATATTTTCTATGTGTCTTGTGGAAGAAAATGTTTAATCACACAGTTGGCTTAAATTTCAAAACATATTTCATTGACATTGTAGTAAATTATTTCCTTAGTAGACAAATTAATAAATTCAATTTATTCCTCAATTTTGTTTAGTAGTGACAAATATATTAAATAAATAATTTATATTTTAAACAACCTGTTTATGCACCATATAGTAAATGATTGAAAATGTTGTTAAACAAAAAAAGTAAGTTCAGTTTGTATTATTTTTTTTTTTTGTATACATTATACACTGCAATCATAATGTGTTGTTTGTATTTAACTACCAACTAAATAAAATACCTGTTAATTTATAAATTTTGTATACAATGCTATGAGTACCTGTTAATTTATAAATTTTGTATACAATGCTATGAGTATTTTTTAAAGTAATAATTCTATTAATCAGATTTAGGTCCATTATTATTGTTTTCTTTTTCTTATTTTTAATAAAAAGAGAGCAAAAATGTTCACATAGCTTTCTACCACTTATTTTTACATTCTACTGTAGTGTGTTTTCATAACTTTGTTACCAGAAACACTTCATCGCAATGTTCTTAAGAACAATATCACCAATACCAAATTACATAATACACATTTCAAAATTCACCATTTAAGTTTAAGTACAGATATATTACACATTATGTTATTGTGTCTGTGTATAATCTGTTATACCTCTGATACAGGGAACAAACTATTACATATTAAAAGAACAAGACAAAAATTTGAAAAAAAAAAAAATTTTATTCATCTGCATCTGAAAATCGTAAAATACAAGTTAAAAAACCTATGTAACAAACCATGAAATTCAATGAATATTGTCCAACTAAAACTTACTGTGACTTGACACCCCTCTGCTCTCCTACAATTTATAAAATTGTTATTGTCATGATTAGTTTATTCACAAGCAACTATTCATAGGCGGAAATTGGGGGGGGCTTAGCCCCTCAAAACGTACAAACAGAAAAATTAGCCCCCTCAAAAATAATATAAGTAAAATATAGACTTTCAATTAAATATTGTTGCAATGCAAATAAAAAAAAAACATTGGAAAAAATATCTGGTGTGTTCGTATTTATGTTCAATTACCAAAGCTCATAGCATAATAAGATTTAAAGTAGATAAATCACAGCCAGTTTAATCTGGTGTTATGGTTCCACCACAGAATATTATTATAATATATTATGTTATTATGTAATTGTCATTTTAAAGAAAAGGTTTTCAACTGATAGTCTTCAATCTTCAAATGGCTGAAGCTGTAGACAATTTCATCAAATTAGATTTTAAAAGAGTGATTTTTTATAAGGTTAATATAAGGTAATTTTATTTTAAAAACTTGCTATCAAAATCGAATATTACTGAATTAATAAATAATAAGACATGTGGGTTCAAAATAGAATTTTTATAATTTATTTATTTTATATATTGTAAGTTATTCTTATTATGCTATTACTATATGAAAGATAATTGTTTATTGTCAAGAGCTATTGGATGTAAAAACTAAAAAGTATAAGTGTTCAATCAGAAATGTACGTCGTGAAAAACTATATACATTATTTAACTGACAAAAGCTGTAATACTTTAGAAGATTTTACTTCAGTAGGTACTTCCTAATGATTTATATATCCAAACATATATAATCTTATGCCAGTTTCACTTACTTTCCCCATAAGTTCATCTACATGTGATTATGTGAATATAGTTTTTCGGCTATGAGAAGAATGAAAACATGGTTGAGGTCATCTATATTGCAAAATAGATTCAACAATTTAGGTATCATTAGTATAGAAAAGATATTTCCGAAACAATTGATAGAGAAATCATACTGGTCCATTTGCAAAAAAATAGATATATTATTTTAAAATAAATATTTTAATATACCTGATAACTAGATAACAAGGTTGTTACTGTAAATTAATATTTAATAATTTTGTTTTTCTTTAAAATTTGTATAACTTATGTTATCTTTCTTATATATTTAAAGTTAAAATTCAAGTATATGAACGAGTAAATGTTTGACACTTATAGTATGTTTAAAATAAATCATGCTTAGTTTTGGATGGTGTTTACAGCAATATTATATTTTCAAGTGCTAAGAAAGGCGTCGATATGCAGTAAAGTATTTTTTAAATATTAGCCCCCTCTAAAATTATGGCAAATTTCCGCCTATGCAACTATTAGAAATGTATATTAATGTACTTACTTCAGAGTGAACTGTCACCATGGACATGTCCTTTGTGACAATGTCCATGGTGCCGTCGGTTTCTTCCCCTGTTTGGGGTGTCGCTGTCGGCGGGGTTGGTGTTTGCGGTGGTGGTGGTGGTAGTGGCGGTGGTGGTGGTCCCTTATTCCCACGGCGGGTAGTAGTGTCTAAAAAAATTATAAAAGTTAATAATAGAATACGCAATAAGTGATCGTGATACAACATAACACACACTCACCCGGACAATCGACAATTAGGTGTCCGGTTCTACGACACTTGTAGCACCCTGAAACACAAATTAGGCGATACACCTTTTAGTTTTAGTTACTCTAAAATTTGTATTTTGTATACATCTACTTACTTCTTTTATTTTTTTGTTTTTGCAAACGCTTCCGGACCCTGCCGGAAGCGTTCCCCATCGCGCCGTGCTCGCGGCGGTGGTATACAGGTGCATTATACACCTGTATACCACTCGCGCTATAGTTATTGATTTGTTTTGTTACTTTCATTCTAAAAATAAACAATGACACCAATTAATATTAAAATTAGTCATTTTTGCTGACACTATGCCACTGTTGTGCCGTGACGGGTTGGCCATGTACAACTAATTATCAAAATGTCACGAGGCGGTTTTCGAACATTAGTAATGAGTTAACGAATACAATTTTGCAAAAAAAAACAAAATCAGACTCGTGGCCAACAGTAATCAATAATCATAGAGTATTAGCATTGATTATCGATAGTGTGCTGTTAGTTCTACAGTAAATAAATTAATTTATCATTGGACTAAATACTAAGGAGATTATCTATGTTCTCTCAATCGACTTTTTACGATATTTAAATTTTTAAGCGAGTTATGACAGTTGTGTCAAATAGGATAAGACAATGATGCACAGATAATAGCTAATAGGTCAATTCACTCGATCACAACAAACAGCACACTATTTACAGTGGTAAAATAAAAATGCATTAAAAGGTAGTTTGAACATAAATCATATTTCACCCGCAGAAATAAAACATAATATAATGAAAATATATATATATAGGTAATTATAAAAAAGTTACGGGAAGGTTAGTGAATATTGGTAGTGAATTAACAAACACAATTATACACTAATTAGACATGTGCCAAAAATAAAATCAGAACACATGACGTACAGTAATCATAGAATATTAGGTAAAGTTAATTAAACAAAAGCTTGAGTTTTCAAACACATAATATTCTACAGACGCGTGCTACGTGGTCCAGTTAAGTGGATACCCACATAATATTATATTGTCTCCGTCTTACACACTTGCAAAATTATCTATGTTCTCTCGATCGACTATTTACGACAGCGGTTCCCAAACTTTTTTTTCCGCGGTGCCCTTTTAGAGGCACCAAGTTAGCCACGGTGCCCTGCTGTATATAACATGAAAGATAGAACAAAAAAAGTACTCATTGAGAACCAATTTTATTAATTGTATTAAACCTAATACAATCTAAGGAATTGTTGACAACTGTTTGGCAAATTTTTCGTCAAGCATACAAGTTGCTATATCAATAAGACATGGTTTTATAAGCGTTTCAGCAATACCTAGTATGAGCTTCACCTTTTTGAGCAATGCGGTAGCTCACCATGTAGGAAGCTCTCAATGCATTTTCGTTGTCAGTTTGAACGTGTGTTTTTATTTTGTTTTGAACAGCCAATAGTTCAGTGCGCTTTCGTTTAAAATAGTCAGTCGTTTTACCTTCATAATCCGGATGGATCTTTTCAAAATGACGACGCAATTTTCCGGGATACATGGAACTGTTAGGAAGAACTTTCAAACAAATAACGCACTGTGGCTGGCAATCATTAGTTTCTGAGAATCCCATCTCTAAAAAGTTGCTATATCAATAAGACATGGTTTTATAAGCGTTTCAGCAATAGTATGAGCTTCACCTTTTTGAGCAATGCGGTAGCTCACCATGTAGGAAGCTCTCAATGCATTTTCGTTGTCAGTTTGAACGTGTGTTTTTATTTTGTTTTGAACAGCCAATAGTTCAGTGCGCTTTCGTTTAAAATAGTCAGTCGTTTTACCTTCATAATCCGGATGGGTCTTTTCAAAATGACGACGCAATTTTCCGGGATACATGGAACTGTTAGGAAGAGCTTTCAAACAAATAACGCACTGTGGCTGGCAATCATTAGTTTCTGAGAATCCCATCTCTAAATAACTTTCGTTGTATTTACATTTTTTGATCGGATTTATGAAGCCATTTGCATTTGAATTACAACGATGAACTACTTGACTACCATTTTCGTCATTGATTCTGCCTTCTACGGACTGAGTACTAAGAGATTCCTCTGTAACAGGCTTCTTATTAAAATGTCCACCTTTCAACCAACGGTCCATGTTTAAAAAAAGAGAAGAACATGTAAACGGCGTAAACAATGCGCGCACTAGATACTTAAATAACACAATTCGACTAAACGGTGTAAAGTCACGCACACTACTGAAGGTGAAGAGCTCAAGTAGTTCCAAATAACAGACTAATAAGTAATAGTTAATTGAATACATCGTCTGACATGATTAGAACCATATGCCCAATTACTGGGTTTGGTATTTATACTGACAGTTATGTCAAATATAAGACAATGATGCACAGATAATTTTCTTACCACATGACAATTCGTTAATACCTAATAGGTAAATTCACTCGAAAACTACAACAAATAGCACACTATTAAAAGAAAAACAGTAAAAGAAAATCATATTTCACCCGCGCAAATCTAATATAATGAAAAAATATATATATAGTTATAAAAAAGTTACGAGACGGTTATTGAACATTGGTAGTCATGTGCTAAAAAGAAAATCGGAACACACGACATACAGTAATCATAGAATATTAGGTAAGGTTAATTCAACAAAAGCTTGAGTTTTCAAACACATAATATTCTACAGACGTGCTGTGGTCCAGTTAAGAAGATACCCGCATAATATTATGTTGTCTCCGTCTTACACATGTGCGATATAGTTAATTTTCGTTCGACGGTTTCAATAGTGTGCTATATATTAGTTTTAAGGTGAACTCAACTATTAGTATTATTAATTGAAAACTAATATAAGAAGATAATCTGTGTCCTCTCGATCGATTTTTAACGACATTTTAGTTTTTAAACGAACTATGTGTATGTGTAATGCAAAATATAAAATAATAATGCACAGATAATTTTTCTAAAATATTTATAAAAACCAATTACGAACAGCGCACTATTTAATCTGGTCAACTAAAATTTACTACGGAATACGATTTACATTCATTCAAATGCACACGTGCCGATAGTCATACATTCAGACCTCATAAACAATTAAACGAAATTTTATTGTATAAAGGGGTGTTTAAATATTGATCGAGATACAGTTAAATATATTCTATAAGTATTAAAAAGTGTTTGAGCATAAATCATTTTACTCTAGCAAGTTAAACTAACATGAAAAAAAACCGGGAAACAAGGCCAGTATAAGAGGTACCTACAATAAGGAATTAAATACGTTTACTTACTCGAACGGCGTCCAAATGTCAAATGAAATATGTCCGGCGTTCGTCACCGATCATACATCCTGTCCGCAAAAATGGATTTCCCATCACTCCATTAAATTAGATGGGACATCGGTCGTATCAACAATTACCCGATAACGCGAAAGCTTCGTGTGAGAGAGATCGATAGTGACTACAGGTAGACAAACAGAGACCGTCACGATACACGCGCTTTAGACATCATCATTATTGGTCATTACACACCGTTCGACCGAATTATACGTTTTTACGCTAACATAATTTTTCCCTTCAGAAATTATTATGTTAACAATATCATACCTATTACCTATGAATACACGAATAGACATACTAATTTTTTAACGTATACGGAAGGTATAACCGTGTACGATCCGTATTATATTTGTTGACGATGGCTGTAACATTTAAACTAAAGTACCTATCTGCAATACATACCTGATATACCGTTGAAAATTGTACGCGATCGACGACCTCGGAGTACCTACCGGGGGGACTTCGATGAACGTATATCGAATATTACATGAGGCATCCACTTGCTAGACACTCCAACACGATTTTAAACTTGACATTTTGCTCCACAAACAAAAAAAGCACCGGACATGCAAGGGAAAACAGCACTGACACAGAAAGTTCAAAAATGTAAACATTCCCGCCAAACCACCAAGCGCTATCACTAATCATTATCAGCCATACATAAACATAGGTATTAAAGAATGGATAGGCCATTTGTCGTTATCACATACTCGACTACATCATTAACATTCTACTACGACCACAGTAAGTTGTAGAACTACGACAAAGTCGGATTGTTCATCATTCATATAGATAGTCGAGTTTCACTTATAGGCTATAGCCGTTTAATGTCTGTAATACTTGCCCACCTGATTTTCTGTTACACACATTGGTGGACAACTTCAAAGTTAATCGATTTTCACTTCAGAATTCAGGTTACTGACTTGCTAGACACTCCAACACGGTTTTCGGCTTTACATTTTTTACATTTACACATATTTACACATAGCTACGGAAAAGCACCGGGACATATACGTTGGGGAATCGTATCATTGTATTGCTGACTTTCATGGACCATGGGAGATTTCTAGACATTAAAACTCGACTTTTAAACTTTCCCGCCTTCGAAACGAGACCGCCAAAGAGCCAGAGAGTCTTATCACAAATTCCTATCACCAAATCACCTCCGACTACCAACCTATCACCTTCATTATAATTCGACTATGTCTCCAAAATAGGTACTCACTTACAAGTAACACTGGGGGGTCCGGGGGTCAGGCCGGATCAAAAAACCCAACCCGAGGTGAAACGACAAAGATGTACCACCGCCCACACAGTCTTTCCGCCGTAGGTGGGATGACAAACGCCAGAATCTAGTAAAAGGTAATAAGTCGAGCAAACAGAAACGAGTAAACAGAGAAATATACAAATGTACAAAATAACTTGTGAGATGGGAATTTGAAAATTATTGTTTTCTTAACAATAATAGTCAGGTTGTTACTTTAAGCAAAAAATAATTTCCCTATCACTGTTGACAATTCGATACATTAATTATAAAATTAACATTCAAATCCCAATAATATGGATACATGATATATAATACATAATAAATATAACAATATGTTATTCTTTACTTTAGTCTTTAAAACTCTTTCAGTAATATTTAGTTATTTATTGCTCAAGGCTCAATTAGTATTGTAAACTGCTTACCTGCGGCGTCGTACAAACGCAATTCGGGTGGCGGAGCTTAGACCCCCCCTCCTCCAAGATGTCTGTACTCTCTAACAAATATCACATAATGATTTTTAAAACGATTTTTTTTTTCAACTCCATCTTATTTTAGAAAATTCATAGCCCATTTTTAAAATATTTTTCATCTGCCTTTGAAACAATATACTAGAAGCCCTCTATTAAATTTTCAAGCTTTTTTAACCAACAAATAAAATTTTATTGATATTTATAGAATAAAAAACTAAAAAAATTGGATTAAAAAATATTATTAAAATATTTAATTATTTTTAATTATCATTTACTACCTACCTACTTACTAATTAACTATACGGCATATTGGTCTTTGTTATACTTATACGTTATATACCTATAGGTATAACCTATGCCTTTTTCCCCTGCTTTTTTTTCCATTGCTTTTTTTTCCGTTGCTTTTTTTTCAATTGCCTTTTTTTCCTAGATTCTGCTAAAACCTAACCAACTACTGTTTAGCTGCAGTTAACTGTAGATAGGTATATAGTGGGACGTGGGTATCTGTTGATTATTTATACTAATTTTGTCATTTAAAATGTATAATATTGATCAAGAAAATCATCATTCTGCACACTTATTTGTTTTCACTCCCCGAGACCCTGAACAACGTATAAAAAGGAAAATTTGCGTTAAGCTGGACCAATCATTGTGTTGTTATTTGTTAGCTTTAGAGTGAATTCAGTGACACAAGTACACAACTACCGAGTACCAGGGTGGTTAAGAATTTCCTTAATTTATGCATGCAACCCCCGATATTTACTGACTTAAGTGGACGCCGCACCCGCATGTGTTGTCTCCGTCTTACACACATACGACATAGCAAATGTTCGTAGGCTAGTATTACAATAATATGGTTGGTACCTATATGTACGATAATATGGTATCATATGACTTGTGGTACAAGTGCATTGCCCTAGCGTTGTGGTTGACGCTGCGTCGGTTGGGGCAAAAGCACTGTCCAACATGCGCTTCGTTTTGCTGCTGACTCCGTTGCAGAAAGGGTTAGGTACACAAGTTTAGGCATTTAAAAGAAAGAAAACACAATGTCGTTGATTGACGCGGTTGCGTCGAAAGTCGTATATTAGAACATGAACATATATGTGCGTACGCAGTAGTGCAGTACGCATAATTATTCGACGGTTAGGTACGGTCGCTGGTCGCGTGGGTCGACGGAATCGGTGTGCTCGATGCACGAGCGATCGAGGGAGCGTGGCGCTACGTCGAGAGACGAGAAAGTCGTCGCGACATTAGTTCGGTCGGCCGGTCGTATCGCTACTCGAGTCGATTGCCGTTGCGAGAGAAACATGGCGTCGGGCGTATGTCGCGAGTGGGACGAAACGTGAGGCTCGGTCGAGGGCTGTGAGCAAAGAGAACGCTGGCCGGTCGGTCGGCCGCGTCGTACCCGTCGCGGGGCGAGTCGCTTGGCGTCGCCAATGGGAGACGCGAGATCGAGTTGAGCGAGGAACATAAATATAATTACAAAGACAATAAATACTAAAAATCACAGTTGTTGTATAAATAAGAATATAATATAAAAGTTCCGCGAAACGGATGGTAACGCCGAATGAGTTGAGCAAAGTGGTGATAAGCGCCGAAGTCACCACCACGGTTTAAGATAGACTGGTTGCGCGTCGAACGAAAAAAAGTGGCATGAGAAAGCGCTTACAAAAACTTACTGGCACATAACGCGATCTAGCGGTTATGAATTATTTATATATATATTTGGTGATTGGCTGATGATTTGAATTGTATGTATACATATAATATATATATTTTAAATTGGGAGTTGTAGGAGGTCACGACACCATTTCCTTTTTAGCCTGTGCCTTGGATTTCCTGAGAGAGGAGAGGTTTTTAATATGAGGATTTTGGTGGGATAGGAGTCGCTTACGGAAGCACGAGTAAAAGAATTTGGCTTCTTCGTTGATGGTTTTCATTTGAAAATCATTATGTAATGTTGGGTTTGAAACGTACAGTGGTGCATTGGAGAGTCGTCGAAGAGCTAGGTTTTGGAATACTTGTATTTTATTGGTATTGGATTTTTTTGCTGAACCCCAGA